CTACAGCTAGTGTACTTCCCCTAGGTGATGAGTTCTGAGCTCTCATAAACCTTTTATTCTCACGCAACAGGACAGTCACATCATCCAACTTCAAAATAGACCTGCCTACCAACACAGTCTGAACTAAAGGCCTATAAGACTTGAGCAAAGATGACAGTAAAATTAAAGCCTTTTCTTTATCTTTTAACTCATCAACAGAAATCGCTAGCAATTGAGAAATCAATCTATTAAACTCATTCAGGTGATTATGAATAGTTATACCTTCTTTCATCTTCAGAGAATATAAATCCATCTTCAAACATAATCTATTAGTCGATGACTTCGAAGCATAAATACCTTCAAGTTTATCCCACAAACTCTTCGGAGTACTCTCAGTCAACACACTATATTTTACATCTGGAGCGAACGCCAATCTAATAGTATTAACAGCTTTCTTTTGAATCATATTTCAATTAGCATCAGACATTCTCTCAGGCTTATTACTCTCTAATGCCTGATTCAACCCTTGTTGTACTAATAGATCTTGAATCATACTTTGTCATAACATAAAATTACTCTTTTCATCAAATAACGAAATCTCAAACTTAGGCATAGACATACCAGACATACCTTTTTCAGACATCTTCAAACATTGCTTCACGATCTCTTGGGCCCACGAACTTTAATCCTCGAACCTCGCTTTGATACCACTTGTTGAAAAAAATAACACCCACGTGCAGTAATCACACACAAAATAACAAGCTCAAATCAAGAATAAAAACACACAAATATATTTGGTTCGGCCCAACTCAAAATGGCCTACTCCAAAACTAATCCACTATCAAATAAATCTTTACAATTGTGAGACTTTTAGAATGAAAAAAGTCTCCTAAAACTCCTTACTCAAAACTTAACCCAAAATTCAATTACACCTTTTAATAGCCTACTCACTTAACTATTCTCTTGGTGTCTAACTCTCTGGGGTTACTAAACTAAAACCAAAACATCTTATTTATAAGGGTGAAACCTTTTATACTTTTACTAAACTTTCGATATGGGATACAAGATAAACTCAAACTCACTTAACTTTCGATATGAGATTCTGAGATTCAAGGCAAATCCCAACAGCCTTCACATTTATATTTTTCAGATTTAGAAGCCAGCCAAATGGCATCACCTGCTCTAGAGAATTGAATCACTTTCTCTGCAATAAATTAAGAAACATTACTCAAAAAGAAATATCCACAGTTGTTCATGAACAATTTTTCTTTTTTTTTTTCCTTTTAAGATATCAGCTATTCGAAAGTTGGTTTAGTTTGTTGTGTCCCTATATAGAAGAAGTTCAATCATTCATTATACACTTGAGAAGATAATATCTGTTTTATTAAAAATACATTTACTCTTGTTGTTAGTTTGAAAAACACTTTAGTACCCCTCTAAAAAGGACAGATATTAAAATTCTTTCAGTGAAACTAATGTTTAATCAAAATACCAAAAACACCCTTATTTATTTTATTGCTTACTTCTTTTTTTTCTTTCGTCATTTTTTCATTCTATTTCTTTTTTGTTTCAGTCAATTGCTCTATCACCCAAACTTTCAATATAGTTTGCTAATTCTAAGATTCAATTAGCAGGATGGAAGTAGCAGCTGTGACAGCATCTGGCCATGGGATTGCACCTGCTGTGGCAGCTGGGAAGGGTATATGCAAATGGTTGAGACACAAACATAGTTATGTAAAACACATCAGCAGTAATTTCAAGAAACTTGAGGATGATGATACATGTCTACGTGATCAAGAGGCACATGTTCAGACGGAGCTGGAAAATAATAAATCACGGAAGAAAATTACACCAGAATGCACAACTTGGCTCAGCCGAGTAGCAGATATGAAAGAACAGATTGGAAGACTGAGGTATGAATATGAAAATAAAGCTTCCACTTGCTTATGTGGACTATGACCATACCGTGCTTTGCTTAAGCTTGGTAGACGTGTGGTGTAGAAGATGGCAGAGGCAACTTCTCTGAAGAATGAACTGAGCCAAATCACCATAATGCGTAACAAGCCACCAACAGTTCATCGCAGTCACAGATGGAATAATGATGTCAGGATAGTTAACCTTCCATCGCTTAAAAATCACGTGGAGACGTTAATAGATTGGTTAAAAGAAGAGAGATTTAAGAGAATTTACGTCAGGGGTCCTCTGGGAATAGGGAAAACAACAATAATGAAAATTGTGTACAACAATGTCTATGAATACCGTCAGTTCGACTATACCTTTCGTGTGACTCTAACAGATGAAAGCAGAATATCGAGAGACATACAAGAAGTAATTTGGAACTGTTTAGGCATGAGAATGGACGAAAATGACCATCTTGATCAAAGAGCTGCGGTGATATCTGAGAAGCTTAAGGAAAAAAATGTGTTGTTTCTTGATGAAGTTTCTTCGGTGGTTAATCTTGAAGAAGTTGGGATCAAACGTAATCATGAGCATGGGAAGGTGGTGTTTGCATGCAGAGACAAATATGATGGTCACATTGATTCGGATATGATCGTGCAGAGACTGTGCAAAAAGGATGCTAGAAAGTTGTTTTGGGAATCAGTTGGTTCAGATCTTGAGAAGAAACGAGAAATCAAACGAACTGCAGAACAAATTATCGATTTGTGTGGTGGCATGCCGTCTATACTCAGTTTAATAGGAAAACAACTGGAAAGAAAAGACATTGCACAATGGCGGGATATGAAGTCCCAAATGCAATCACCAAGTAAATGTTAGGAAAATGGGGTCCAGTCCCATGTAAGTAGTTTTGGATCAAGTAAAGGTTATGGGCCTTGATCTTTTATTTTACACAGAGCCCTAGCTACTTAATAAAAAAGAGGTGGAGTTGTTTTAGGTGTGTCTCGAAAATCAAGCAGAGAAAAAAGAAAAGTCAGGAAAAGCAGAGAGAGAAAAAAGAGAAAGGAGAGTTGGTTGAACGAAAGTCAATCCGTGGTCCGATTGAGTTGGAACCTTGTCAGGAGGTTTATGATTCAGAGTTCTACATTCTGAACGGTGAAGATCGGGTTTGAAGCTCTTTAGGAACAAATCCAGGGTGTATTTGTTGAGTCACTTATTTGATGAGATTTCTTCAATTGTTTCTCTAGTTGTTGATTAGCTCTAGTTTTAGCTAGAGAAGAACTTTGTATAACTATTATTTGATAGTGAAGATTTTTCTGGTGGGCCGTGATTTTTTTCCTCTACACTGGAGGGTTTTTTCACGTAAATCTTGGTGTGTTTTATTTTTCTTACGTATTTGATTATTGATTGTTATTTATTGCTTCTGTATTGTTGTGATTATTGCTTCAGGCGCAACAGTAAGCAACCATGGCAAGAGTTGGAAGAATATTACCGGTCATTGAAACTTGTCTATAACAGGTTTACTGAAGCTGATTATAAGCGTTGTTTACTGTATTGGGCTATTTTTCCTTTCAGTGAAGAAATTAATCGAGATTATATAATTGATTGCTGGACAGCAGAGCAGTTTTTGGAATGCCAAAGGCTGGGAAAGCTCGTGACGAGGGCATACTATACTAGATAGTTTCACAGACAAATCTCTACTGGAAAAGGAAGAAAAGTTGGGGCACTTCAAGATGTTTGTGTGTTTTCAAAGGGCGGCATTAAGGATTGCAAATCGGGAAGAAAATCTAAATTTTTTTGTTGAAAATGGTGCAACGATTGAAATTCACAAATTGATACAAGCAAAAAGAGTCTCATTGGCTCGTACTCGCCTGCCCCCCCTGCCACAAAAGCCCAAATGTGCCGGAATGTTAACATTGTTACTCCATGAAAACAGCTTGCGAGAATTTCCAGGGCAATTCTTTGAATATATGCCTGGCCTTCAAGTTTTGTGGTTAAGGGAAACAGGAATCAGTGGACTTCCTGAATCCATCTCCGGATTAAGAAACCTCAGAGGGCTCTTTCTAGACAACTGTAGTTGTTTAGCAGTGCTTCCTCATCAGATAGGTGATCTCCAGAGTCTCAAAATCCTTGTTGTACGTCATACTGGGATCTCTTCTTTACCGAGTGAGATTGGACGGTTGGGAAATCTTAAATGTTTGAGAGTTTCGTTCAAAGAAGATGCCACAGTAGGAAACAATTTTACTGTTAATTCTGGCAACTTCAATCAGAACGGCATCGAAGAAAGGATAATTCCTAGAAAAATTATTGAAAAGCTTTCTAAACTAGAAGAGCTGAGTATTGATGTGAGCCCTAATAGCAGAAGATGGAATGCCAATGCTGATGAAATTGCAAGGGAAATCACCATATTTAAAGGATTGACACATCTTCACTTCTACTTCCCTCAAATGGAGTCTTTTGAACATTTCATTCAGAATAGCAAATCATGGAAACCAAATGGAGAAAATGAGGAATTTGAAGGCTTCAGATCTTTCAACATCTCTGTTGGTCAACAAGGAAATAGTTCGGCATCAGACTTTAATGTCTTTGAATGCTCAGCTGAAAAGCATCTGAAGTTTTCTGCAGGAGATGGATTTCCTGGGGCTGTTTCTGAGGTACTTAAACAGGCGACTTCATTCGAGCTGATTGGTCACGTGACTGCTGGCAACTTAACGGATGGCCTTCCTGATGATACATTTGAAGAGCTGGAAGTTTGCATTGTTGAGGAGTGTGATGCGATGACGAGCATCGTAAATGGAAATACAAACACAACAGGAGTAGTATTCCCATGCCTGGAAAAGCTACATATAAAAAAGCTCCCAAACTTGGTGAGTATCTGGGAGGGCACTGTAGCATCTGAAAGCTTCAGTGCACTATCGACTCTGACATTAAAAGAATGCCAAGGTATAACGAAACTTTTCTCACTAGAGTTGGTCAGAAAGCTGTGTAAGCTACAAAATCTTCAAGTTGAGGACTGTGCAAGGATTGAAAAGATTATTGAAGCTGAAAGTATAGTCGAATCCACGGCCTTTCCCAGTCTGAAGAATTTCCAACTATGTAGCTTGACAAGCTTGTCTTCCATTTGTGATGCCTCGTTAGAATGTCCCTCTTTGGAGAGAATACTTATCAAGACTTGTGAAGGGCTAACAACTTTGCCAAGAGTCCTGCAAAAAGCTCCCAAACTGAGAGAAATTCAATGCGCTGAAGATTGGTGGCATCAACAGGAATGGCCAAGTAACGAAACTGAAAAGCAATTCAGAACTTTTCACCGTCACTTCCGCTAAAATGAAAATCCTGAACAAGAAACATTACTGCATACGGTTATTGACCTCTAAACCTATGTGGAAATTTTCTTGGACCATGCTTTTCCATTCCATGGCCGGTATCATTGGATTTGGCAGAATAATATAACCTGGTCAGCTCATGTTATTTTCCTTTGTTTTGTTTTGTTTTGTTTTTTTTTTTTTTTTGGTTTTCTGGCTGGTTTGCTCTTGGTGTCTTGTCCGGTTGAACACTCAACAATAAAATTTTCCCGTGTGTTTGTTTAAATCATATTACGTCATTGTAATAATTTTATCATGTTGTTTTCCCTTTTGTTTTTTTGTTTTTGTGTCTCATTTGCTCTTGGTGTGCAATACGGTTGAAGACTCAACAATAAAATTTATGTGTTTGTTTACATCTATATTACGTCTTTGAAACAAAAACAGATTAAGCCAATGGAAAATGTTCCCAATGGTGGCAGGAGCAAAGCTAGTTGAAATCATTTTCATTCAAAATCCATTTCAAAAAGATTAAAGATTTATTTAAATTGTATGTAAATTACACATATAAGGATTAAAAGTAAATTATTTGGTGAATTGAGAACACGCATATAAAGTGATTTACAAATTCAAGTAACACAAGGAAAATAAATATTACTGAACTTTAAATCTCATCATCATGGTCAAACACCACCTGCATGAGAAAGGGGAAAAATGGGTAAGAAACACTAGGAACTTGGAAAATTATACAGTTAATAAAAAGTAAAGCAAAAATGAAAAACAACTGCAAAGACAAGCCATAAGATAAAAGTAACAGCAAGGAATACCTATAGACAGCCTAGTAAAAACCATAGAAACGAAATTTCCAGCTAGACAGCTTAAAAGACTACGCAAATTATGCAACACTTGTTGATCGAATGATTAAAGAATTCAATTTTTTTAAAGTAAGATTTTAGTTACGAATCTTGTAAATGAAAAAACCAAACATTGAGAGTGCTTTAGGGATGTAAGTAAATAGAGTTTTTGATGAATTGATCATAAATATATTCAAGTTTTGTTCGTTTATATTCATTTATTAAGCTTAACAAATGATCTTAAATATCATTTATATGTTTATTTATTAAACAAATCAAACACGAACAATTGTCTGTTCATTCATTTACGTTCACAAACAAGCTTGTTTAAGTTCGTTCTAAATTGGATCTGACCAAAAATTTATGAAATAGTTGTTACCATTTTAAAAAGTATGTCTGAAAATGAATACAAGTCAGTTGTAAGTTTTTGCTAATAAAAAATTTTGTTTATATATAGCATTTGACATGAAAAAATCATTCAATAATTTTTTACAAAAAATTGAATGGAGTTTTTAAAAGTATTTTTGACTAAAAATACCTTGAATAATCATCTTCAATTTTTATGAAGAGATTATTCAAGGTCTTTTTTTAAGTTATTGAAAGTGTTTCTGACTAAAAATTCCTTAAATAATTCAAAAAAAAATGAGAAGAAATTATTCAAGATATTTATTTTTTGCCAAAAACACTTTGAATAATCTCTTCTAATTTTTATAAAGGTATTATTTAAAATGTTTTTAACAAAAAACACCTTATATAATTGCCCATTTTTTTTAAAGATTATTCAATGTGTTTTTTGTCAAAAAATACATTGAATAATCTTTTACAAAAAATTATTATTTAAGATATTTTTTGACCAAAAACACCTTGAATAATCTTTAAAAAAATTAAAACAGATTATTTAAGGCATTTTTGTTAAAAAATACCTTGAATAACCCTATTTAATTTTTTGTAAGAGATTATTTAACGCATTTTTTGGCCAAAACGCTTTGAATAATAACTTTATAAAAATTAGAGAAGATTATTCAAGACTTTTTTGACTAAAAATCTCTTGGATAACCCCATTCAATTTTTTGTAAAAGAGTATTCAATGTTTGGTAAGGTATTATTTAAGATGTTTTTTTGGCAAAAAAAGCCTAAAAATACCTTCGATAATCTCATTTTGGCTAAAAACGACTTGAATAATTACTTTTTTTTTATTATTCAAGACATTTTTGGTCAAAAAATACATTGAATAATCCCTTACTAAAAATTGAATGAAGTTATTTAATACGTTTTTTTACCAAAAAACGCCTTTAAATAATCTCTTCCTTTTTTTGAAAGATTATTCGAAGTGTTTTTAGCCAAAAAAATACTTTGAATAACCTCATTTAATTTTTTGTCAGAGATTATTCAATACGTTTTCTTACCAAAATTTTTTTCATTTTTTCATATTCATTTAATGTTTACGAATAAGCTCATTTAATTTAAACGAATTGAACACAAATATCTTATTATTTAAATAAACCAAGCTCGAACACAATTAATGAATTTCCTACAGCACACGAATCGAGCTTGAACAGCTCTAAAAATAAATAAACAAGTCACAAACTTTTATCTATTTATTCATGTTCGATTTATTTACAGCTCTAGAGAACTTGTTCTCCTTGTGACGTCCAATCCGGACCAACTCTCAATTAATTGATGCTCAAAGCATCTACCGGCCATTGGGATCTCCAAACCAAAAAAAAAAAAAAAAGTTACTGACTAGTCAACAAATATACTCCACATATATGTGTTAACTATTGAGAATAAGTAGTAAAATTCATTATATTAAGTTCCTTGCTTTTCCAACTTTGAGGTTGCCTTATGACTGAGTAAGCAATTTAAATCGTTTATATTTAAAAATTAAGGAGCTAGACATAAAGAACTTCGTATAAGTTTTTCTGCTTAGCATTTTCCCTTCCAAGAAAAAGGAATGCTGATATCTTTTTCAGTTATACAAGCTCCAAAGGCAATTGTAATGCCGGTATTCCAGTAAAAGACATAATTCAATTAACTAACTAAACTTGTTCATGTCATATGGATGAATATTAGACCAAAATATCAGAATTTCTACATAGTCAAATGCAATAGGTATATGAACATGGCATATCAGCTGTTACTTAAGAATAGTAAGATTAATTGTTGACAGGATACTAATACAAAAGCAATCCTTGCTGATTACTATAAAATCAAGCCTACAGCTAATAAAACGGATTGGCCATTCAAACCAGCAAATTAGTAAGTTACTAATGATTGATAAATGAAATCAAAACATGAGCTTTTCAGTTTGCATCCCCCCCCCCCCCGCCTCCCAATGAAGGAAAGTTTGACTGCAGAGCTGAACCAAATTGGCAGATTTCAAATTTGAGATCAAACAATGACAGTTCAGGGTTCAAAATGCTCTGATCTATTAAAATTCACAGTGGCCCCTAATTTCAACCAAGAAATTTGCTATTCTGTTATAAAGATGGCACCAAAACAGATGGCAATCATATTTAAAAATCATTTTTATCAACATCAGCTGTTTCTAGCAAGAAAGATTTAGTCTTTGGAAAACCTCCTATAACATGTCTCTTTATGCCTTCCCATCAATAATGTTTGACTTTTCACTCTTCCAATTGAATAAATTCTATCAAAAACTTATTATTTTTCACGCTTCGATTCCGTGGAAAAAAATAAAAGTATTATATTGAATCTCCGTCAATGGCATCAGAAAAAAAAAAAGCAATTTACATTTTAAGCCATGTAATTCACCAATTTAAACATATCCATTCATATTTTCATGTTTTCCTTGGCATAATAAATCGAAGGGATTAGCTATATCAAAGATACTCTTAACCAAAAAAAAAAAAAAAGCTTCTTTCTTGGGGCTTTTTCTTACAAAAACTCTCACGTTTTATTTCAAATTTTCTAACCAAACAATAATCGCACAAAAAACACGTAATTAAGCAATAAAATAGTGGAAAACATAAAATTTATTTTTTAAAAAACGCTTGAGAAAGGTGTTTATCTTTTTTTTTTTCGCCCAATACCCGAAGTGGAGATGAGAGTGTCGCAGATTTCAAAGGGTTCTACCAATTGCCCGCCAGAGACGAAACAGGAAATCTTTTCTCAGCACTTTATTTTAGGGCTCGGTTGATTTTTCTTATAGCGTATAGAAAATTTATCTTTAATGAACTACGTACATCCACCATAGAAAGATACGTATATACGGAATTTATCTTACCACCAGAACCAGAGGCGAAGCCATGCCTGTGCCTCAGGGAAGCAAAGGGGGAAAGGGGGCCGAGATGATGCTTGGTGGGCCCAAATACTGTACAATAATGGTATAAATATTTTTTTGGGCCTGCCCCATGCCTGCCCTTAGATTCGCCTCTAAAGTCTAAACCACAACATAAATTTAACCAAAAAATATTAAATATGGTATTAAACCATATATATATATATTATTATTATTATTTACATTAAATTAATGTGCATGACTTAACTCTATTTTATTAGGCGAATTTTATGTTTTTTATGTTGATTAAACTCATTGATTTTTATTATTATAAATATACTCCAACAGGTCGAAAATAAAACTTTTTAATATATTGATATAAATAAATTTTTTATTTATTTTAAGTATTTATATATATTAATATTTATGAGCAACATAACAAATTGTTATGAGATATGCGATTTATTATTAATTATTTTTACTTAATTTATTTTTATTTTTAAATTTGTTTACATTTATATGAAATTTAATTGGTTCTTGTAAATATAAGTCCATTGCTCATATCTAAACTTAAATTTTAAATGGAATTTCATATAATATGTATTCGTGAATAGCAAAATACTGAATTCTTAGTTACACGTTCAACAACTATTATTACCAAACAACAGGAGAGATGAGCAGCCAAATCCCAATGGTTTGGTCTCAAAGAACTTGTGTTCATATTTGACAATCATTAAATACTAAAATGAATATCAATTAGTTAATCATGAGAATTGAAAGAGAATCCTTCGCCATGATTGTTTCTTTGGAGCTGAAATTTGGGTAAAATGTTGGAACTAAGTGCTAGAGACAGTGTTCCTTTTTTTTTTTTTTAACTTTAATGCCAGCAGGGCTGACCACTTGTTGCAGGCATGTCACTGCTATTGCTGCCTCCAGTTTTATTATATATTATTCTTCAGTGATGGAGGAAACCTCATCTCAGGATTCATCCACTCTCAGCTTCACCTAAAAAGGACCAGACGAAGAAAAAAATGTCACTTTTACTTCGCAATAAAAAGGAGAGCCGGGCACAGCACAAGCAGCTAGAATCAAATGGCAAACCATTTGTAGCCCCAAGTCAGAAGGAGGGTTGGGGCTGAAAGATATCTCATCATGGAACCAGAACAATGTGGTCATAATCAAGCATTTATGGCCTCTACTTGCACAAGCAAGATCAATATGGATGGCATGGACACAGAACTATGTAATCAAAGGGAGAAGCATATGGGATGTGCCAATCCCTCAAAACAGTAGCTGGAGTATGCGAGAAGTGCTACAAATGGGGAACATTGCTTAAGGATTCTAATGTCAGCGGGGGGTTGCTTAAACCATCCTGCTGGAGCTATATGGGAGGAATCAAGACACAAACAAGAGAAAGTTGGTTGGCATAGGCTTGTTTTGTGTATGCCACTTATACCTAAGCATGCAGTTATCGCCTGGATGGCCATTCTTAATAGGTTCCCTTCTAAAGACAGGTTGAATGCATGGGGATTGCAACTGTTAGGTGCTGTGCATTGTGTAAACAGGATGATGAATGTAAGAACCACATTTTGTTTACTTGTAGCTATTATAAGGTAGCGTGGAGGCAGGTCTTACAGCACTGTCAACTGCCGAAGGAAGTTGAGTATTGAGAGAACGAATTTCAGCGGGCAATTGCTAGACTCCTAGGAAGGGTTCTACTCTCTGTTATATTGAGACTGGCTTGGGGAGCTTACATCTATTTGATTTGGAACGAACGTAACAAAAGGCAATTCAAGTCGGAGGAAAGCAATAGTGAACAGATTAAGGAGATAGTCAGGCTAAGAGTAGCTGGATTAAAACATGTTTATTTGGATCAAATGGGACCTAAGCAGAGATACGTTTGTAATGTAAATAAGTGATGTGATACAAATTGTACAAACTGTTTTACAGTAGCTGTGATTTGCTGCTTCTACGATAATAAAACTACAATTTATCCAAAAAAAAAAAGGCACAAGCAGCTGTTCTTCTAACTTTTAGTTGATCGTATTTTTGCATGTCAGAAAAGAGGTACATATCAGCAACAACCATGTCACCAATCCCATTTTCATGGCCGTTTGAGAAGGATCCGCAGGCATATTGGGAAGGAAACTCTGAAGCGTCTCTTCTTTGCTGTCCTTACACTAGATTCTGCCATACGGACTGGTTCTAGATGAGGCCTTTTACATCACAGCAGCAGTGTTATGTTCCTTTCAATGGCGGCAGCAGCAGTCTCTTCTATCATTGCTATATATCAAATGCTGATCCTTAGCATGCTGGAAAAAATAAACTTACTGATCATCAACATAAAATTAGGAAAAAAAAAACATGCTTCAATATGGGTAATTAGACAAACCTGCCAGCCTGGATTCATTGTATGTTTGGCAGAACAACCTCACAACTTGGGAAGTCTTAAGAACTATGTACATCACTCTCGCCAATAGGAGTGAAAATGGCTTCAAAATGTGAGCGAATCCCATTTTCCTCCCACACTAATTCATCCCACCAATCCTTTTCGGCTCTAATTTCCTTCAGAGTCTGTTTCAACTCCGAGTCTTTACAAATCTGCTTCAACTGAGGGCAATCGTAGACACTAATGTATTCGAACAAGAGCCTAGTCTGAGCATCTTCCCAAATATGAACCAATTCAGGAAGATACTGAAGTGTTAAACTTTTGAGTGAAATACAACAAGATTCAGTGACCTCTTCTGCAGAAATGATCTTTTCCATTGCTTCACAGTCATCAACCTGCAACTCTTCTAAGTTTGAAATGAATTGCAGCATTGAGCTTTTGAAAACGTAAGTCAACTTTGGGCATGCATGCAAAGACAAAGTTCGTAAAGCTGCAAAGCTCCCATTGGGGACAACACCCTTCCAAATGCTCGTCAAACTCCATGAATAATGAATACTCAAGTGCTCCAGGCAAGGAAATACACTCTCAGTTCCCTCCTCGCTGTCCACAATAGTTTCAAGGTCGGGGCATTCACTTATTATACAATATTTCAACTTCTTAATGTTGCCAATCCCAAACTCACACAGCCTGTGGACGTCAAGATGATGATCTAAATAAAAAGCAGTACATCGAGCCAACACATTAACAATTGCATTAGGTATCTTCTCACTGTTGACAAATCTCAAGCATTGACCCGATATTAGACCATAATTCAGCTCTACATACTGTGGGTCTCGTGATGCATTAAACTCGACATCAGCGCCAACAACAAATTTGAACTCAGTTAAGCTTTCTTCTTTCCAGGATGCACTTTCTCCGAGGAACAGTTCAAGAAACTTGACCTCTGGGAAATAGAAGGAAAGAGAAGTCAACAATTGCAACTTGATCACTTCCTCAACGACGGATTCGACACTCTTATTCCACCATTTATCTCCTGGGTACACACTTATGCTTAGTGTTTCCAATGCTTCAAGTCTGGAAATCAATTTAGGTGGCAGCTTAGCATGCTCACTGTTGGTGCTAGATCCATAGAAGGATACTTCCAAGTGGCTTAGAGAGTCCAGCTCAGCAATCTCTTCAGGTAATTCAATGATCTCCGTGCCCCCAAGATCAAGTACTTGAAGAAGTTTAAGAGATCCAACTTCAGAGGGGAGCTTGACTAGGTGTTCGCAATCACGAAGAATAAGTGTTTCTAGTCTTTCAAGATTTGAAATTGACTTGGGTAAGTACTTGATTCTGGTCTTGGATAGGTTCAACAATTTAAGGACACGCATGTTGTGAAAGAAAAGATCTGGTAACACTCTCAGCTGATAGTTCCTTTGCAGAAACAATGTCACAAGTTTAGGGCAATTTGGTTTGTCAGGCAGAGCGGACAACTTATTATTCATCAAAAACATCATCTTGGATTGTTCCCATTCTTCCTCTCTAGGCAGCTCAGTTAGACCTGCAGCAACTCTTGATATATACTGACCATCAGCGCTAGTGGATGAGGATCTATTTTCTGGCTTCAATGGTTTTGAATAAGTTCTCAGCAGAAACTGACAGCCTTCAGCGTCTAATGACAAGATCCCCAATGCTAAATCTCTCATTACATCACGCATTCTGATGAATTGGCCATTCAAACCAGCAAATTATCAAGTTACTAATGATTGATAAATGAAATCAAAACATAAGCTTTTCAGTTTGCACCCCCCCCCCCCCCCCCCCCCAGCCTCCCAATGAAGGAAAGTTTGACTGCAGAGCTGAACCAAATAGGCAGATTTCAAATTTGAGGTCAAACAATGACAGTTCAGGGTTCAAAATGCTCTGATCTATTAAAATTCACAGTGGCCCCTAATTTTAACCAAGAAGTTTGCTATTCTCTTATAAATATGGCACCAAAAAGATGGACATCATATTTAAAAATCATTTTTATCAACTTCAGCTCTTTCTAGCAAGAAAGATTTAGTCATAGGAAAACATCCTATAACAAATGTCTTTATGCCTTTACCATAATGTAAATTGATTTTCACTCTTCCAATGGAATTAAATTCTATAAAAATTTAATTATTTTTCACTTCTATCCTTCAAAAAATAAAAGTAATATTGGATCTGTCAATGGCATCAGAACAAATAAATTACATTTTAAGCATGTAATTACAATTTAAACTTATTCATTCATATTTTTTTTGTTTTATAGGCAATTTAGTTCGAGGAAGTTTAGTATATCAAGAGATACGTACTTAACCTAAAAAAGATTAGGCTATCTTTTTGTGCAATTTTTTTACAAAAACTCTCACGTTTTATTTTCAAATTTCTAACCAAACAATAATCGCACAAAAAAACGTAATTAAACAATAAAATAGTGGAAAACATAAATTTTATTTTTTAAAAAAAGCTTGAGAAAGGTGTTTATCTTTTTCTTTTTTTTTCGCCCAATACCTGAAATGGGGACGAGAGTGTCACACAGTTCAAAGGATTCTACCAATTGCCCGTCAAAGACGAAGAAGGAATTCTTTTCTCAGCACTTTATTTTAGGGCTCGGTTGATTTTTCTTATAGCGTGTAGAAAATTTATCTTTGATGAACTAGGTACATTCACCGTAGAAAGATACGTATATACCAAATTTATGTTACCACGAGAACCAGAGGCGAAGCCCTACTTAAGCCTTAGGGGCCAAACAGTGAAGCAAAGGGGCAAAGGAGGCCGACATTATGCTTGGTGGGCCCAAATTCTGTACAATATTGGTATAAAACTTGTTTTTGGGGCCTGGCCCACGCCTGCCCTTAGATTCGCCTCTAAACCACAACATAAATTTAACAAAAAATATTAAATATGGTTTTGACACCCTATAAATATAAGTATGTATATTTATTATTATTATTTACATTAAAATAATTTGCAAGGCTTAAATCGATTTTATTAGGCGAATTTTACGTTTTTTATATTGATTAAACCTATTACTTTTCATTGATTATAAATATGCTCCCACAGGTAAGAAATAAGCTTTTTAATACATTGACATAGGTGAGTTTTTTATTTATTTTAAGTATTTATATATATTAGTATTTATGAGCAACATAACAAATTATTATGAGATATGTGATTTATTATTGATTATTTTTACTTAATTTATTTTTATTTTTAAATTTGTTTACATTAATGTGAAATTTAATTGGTTCTTGTAAATATAAGCATAAGCGCATTGCTCATATCTAAACTTAAATTTTAAATGGAATTTCATATAATATATATTTGTGAATAGTACAATACTGAATTCTTATTTACAAGTTCAACAACTATTATTACCAAACAACAGGAGAGATGAGCAGCCAAATCCCAATGGTATGGTCTCAAAGAACTTGTGTTCATATTTGAGAGTCATTAAATACTAAAATGAATATCAATTAGTTAATCATGAGAATTGAAAGAGACTCCTTCGCCATGATTGCTTTTTGGAGCTGAAATTTGGGTAAAATGGTGGAACCAAGTGCTAGAGACAATGTTCCTTTTTTTAAACTTCAATGCCAACAGGGTTGACCACCTGTTGCAGGCATGTCACTGCTATTGCTGTCTCCAGTTTTATTATATATTACTCTTCAGCCATGGAAAAAACCTCATCTCAGTCATTCATCCACTCTCAGCTTCACCTAAAAAGCACCAGACGAAGAAAAAAATGTTACTTTTGCTTTGCAATAAAAAGGACAGCCGTGCACAGCACTAGGGGCTAGAATCAAATGGCAAACCATTTGTAGTCCCAAGTCAGAAAGGAGGGTTGGGGCTGAAAGATACCTATGTGATCATAATCAAGCATCTGTGGTCTCTACTTGCACAAGCAAAGATCAATTTGGATAGCATGGACACAGAACAATCTGATAAAGGGGAGAAGCATATGGGATGTGCCAATCCCTCAAAACAGTAGCTGGAGAATGAGAAAAGTGCTACAAATGAGGAACATTGCTTCCAGGATTTTATCGTCAGCGTAGGGTTGCTTAAACCATCCTGCTGGTGCCATATGGGAGGAATTAAGACATAAACAAGGGAAAGTTGGTTGGCATAGGCTTGTCTTGTGTAAGCCACTTATACGTAAGCATGCAGTTATCGCATGGATGGCCATTCTTAATAGGCTTCCTTCTAAAGACAGGTTGAATGCATGGGGATTGCAACTGTTAGGTGCTGTGTAGTGTAAACAAGATGATGAATGAGAGATATTAGTAATGCAAATAAGTGATGTGATACAAATTGTACAAACTGCTTTACAGTAGCTTTGATTTGCTGCTTCTTGGATAATAAAACTACAATTTATCCACACATAAAAAGCACACGCAGCTGTTGTTTTAACTTTTAGTTGATCATATTTTTGCACGTCAGAAAAGAGGTGCATATCAGCAACAACCATGTAACCAATCCCATTTTCATGGCCGTTTGAGAAGGATCCGCAGGCATATTGGAAAGGAAACTCTGAAGCGTCTCTTCTTTTCTTTCCCTACACTAGATTCTGCCATACGGACTGGTACCAGAAGAGGCCTTTTACATCACAACAGCTGTATTATGGACCTTTCAATGGCAGAAGCAGCAGTCTCTTCTATCATTGCTATATGCTGATCCTTAGCAAGCTGGAAAAAATAAAATTACTGATAAACATAAAATTAGGGGAAAAAAAAAAAAACATGCTTCAATATAGGTAATTAGACAAACCTGCCAGCCTGGATTCATTGTATGTTTGGCAGAACAACCTCACAACTTAGGAAGTCTTAAGAACTATGTACATCACCCTCGCCGATAGGAGTAAAAATGGCTTCAAAATGCAAGCGAACTCCATTTTCCTCCCACACTAATTCATCCCACCAATCCTTTTCGGCTCTTATTTCCTTCAGAGTCTGTTTCAACTCCAAGTCTTTACAAATCTGCTTCAACTGAGGGCAATCGTAGACACTAATGTATTCAAACAAGAGCCTAGTCTGAGCATCTTCCCAAATATGAACCAATTTAGGAAGATACTGAAGTGTTAAACTTTTGAGTGAAATACAACAAGATTCTTTGACCTCTTCCATAGAAATGATCTTTTCGATTGCTTCACAGTCATCAACCAGCAACTCTTCTAAGTTGGAAATGAATTGCAGCATTGAGCTTTTGAAAACATAAGTCAACTTTGGGCATGCATACAAAGACAAAGTTCGTAAAGCTGCAAAGCTTCCTTTGGGGACAACACCCTTCCAAATGCTTGTCAAACTCCATGAATAATGAATACTTAAGTACTCCAGGCATGATACACTCTCAGTTCCCTCCTCGCTGTCCACAATAGTTTCAAGGTCGGGACATTCACTTATTATACAATATTTCAACTTCTTAATGTTGCCAATCCCAAACTCAGACAGCCTGTGGACGTCAAGATGATGATCTAAATAAAAAGCAGTACATCGAGCCAACACATTAACAATTGCATCAGGTATCTTCTCACTGTTGACAAATCTCAAGCATTGACTGGATATTAGACCATAATTCAGCTCTACATACTGTGGGACTCGTGATGCATTAAACTTGATGTCAGCGCCAACAACAAATTTGAACTCTGTTAAGCTTTCTTCCTTCCAGGATGCACTTTCTCCGAGGAACTGCTCAAGAAACTTGACCTCTGGGAAATAGAAGGAAAGAGAAGTCAACAATTTCAAGTTGATCACTTCCTTAATGAAGGATTCGACACTCTTATTCCACCAATTATCTCCTGGGTACACACTTATGCTTAGTGTTTCCAATGCTTCAAGTTCGGAAATCAATCCAGGTGGCAGCTTAGCATGCTTGCTGTTGGTGCTAGATCCATAGAAGGATACTTCCAAGTAGCTTAGAGAGTTCAGCTGAGCAATCTCTTTAGGTAATTCAATGATCTCCGTGCCCCGAAGATCAAGTACTTGAAGATGTTTAAGAGATCCAACTTCAGAGCGGAGCTTGACTAGGCGTTCGCAATCACGAAGAATAAGTGTTTCTAGTCCTTTAAGATTTGAAATTGACTTGGGCAAGTACTTGATTCTAGTCTTGGATAGGTTCAACAATTTAAGGAGAGGCATGTTGTGAAAGAAAAGATCGGGTAACACTCTCAACTGATAGTTCCTCTCAACTGATAGTTCCTTTGCAGAAACAATGTGACAAGTTTAGGGCAACTTGGTTTGTCAGGCAGAGCGGACAACTTATCATTCATCAAAAACATAATCTCGGATTGTTCCCATTCTTTCTCCGTAGGTGGCTCAGTTAGACCTGCAACAACTCTTGATAAATACTGACCATCAGCGCTAGTGGATGAGGATCTATCTTCTGGCTTCAATGGTTTTGAATAAGTTCTCTGCAGAAACTGACAGAGTTCAGTGTCTGATGACAAGATTCCCAACGCTAAATCTCTCATTACATCACGCATTTTGATTAATCGACCACCTTCAGTAGTTTCCAACAGTAAAGCACGCAGAAGAGCATCAAGAATATCATGTCCCCTCTCAAATGCATCAGACCAACTTCCAGCAATTAAACCTTCTTGGATGCAATAATCTACAAATTCGCTAGTGTTCATCTGTTGATCTTCTGAAAACAAGGCACAATAAAGAAAGCAACTCTTTAAGCTGCGAGACTTCAGGCGGTAGAAGCTGAATTTTAGCAGCTGGATTAGGTCCTCCATACGGGATTTGACATCTCTACCAGGCTCCGAAAATTCATTGAAAGCATGCTTCCATTCAGTGACATTTTCTTCATCAGCCAGGGCTCTTCCAGTAACAATAATTAACAAAGGCAGTCCACAACACCCTTCAACTATACCTTTTGCAAAGTAGTTGATACTTGGCAAGTCAACTACCCCACCCACTTGCTCATGGAACAGTGTCCAAGCTTCTTCTTTGGAGACAGGTTCAATCTCGATGACTCCAATCTTCCCCATATCATGACAAACCTTCAATTCTCTAGTTGAAAGTATCATCATGCTACCATTTTCTTGGCTGGGATCAGGAATGCCCATTTCGTGTAGATCAATCCACTCCCAAACATCGTCCAGCAGAAGCAAAAACTTTTTGCCCTTCAAAACTTGGAATGGTTCAGCATTGGAAGATGCAGGGGGCAACTGCTGTATAATTTGATCTTGTATCTTCCTTCTGCTCCAGTATTTTGAGACTGTCACCCAAATGATCAAATCAAACTTGTGCTTTGTTTCGGGATTATTGACCAATGCTCTCAGCACACTGGACTTGCCCACCCCACAAACTCCATAAACAGCAAGTCTTCTTACTGTTTCAGTACTGCCCATGCATTCCAAGATCTTTGACACACTGTGCTCAATATTTGTCATTGCAGGTACTCTAAGAATCTCAGCCTCTGCTTCATCCATTACTGGATTATCATCTTTTGTGGAAGGAATTGCTGCAACTGGTTCCACTATTTCTCTAGTACTAGGCGTGGATAATGTCAATGTTGGAGCAGGTTCACTCGGTTGACTGACTTTTTCTGTCTCTTCAAAAACATTATGACCTTTTTCCTTCTGACGATGTGCAGCCTCCATTTCTATTTCATGGCTAGAGAATGTCCCTTCATTTTCATCGGGAATAATCTCCAGATTTTCTGCTGCCAAAGATGGCACATGTTCTGTTTCAAAAGGAACAAGGCTTGATTAGATTTTGCTCGGGTAAGAAAATGTTTGGTAAAGAAGATAATGTATATTGTCATTGCTACTAAACTACATGCATTAACCTCACCTGTTGCCGACAAGGGTTTCTCAACTGGAGTACTTGTTCTTTCTCTAGTCACTTCAACATCATCAGATAAGTGCTGTATCTTTCCAAATTCAGGATCACGTTCTGAAATCCCTTCTGCTTCATTGATCTCCTCGGATATTTCTGGTGCAGCTCTCTGATCTTTTTCATATTTAATTGCAGGGCTAGACATATCAATTGGTGATGATAATAAGATCTCAATTTTTTTCTCTTTTAGCATTGCTTCCTGCTGTACAGCCTCCTCTCCTTGTTTGCTTGATATTCCAACTTCTACCTTAAGCTCACCTTCGCTTTCAGCTTTATCCCTTTTCTTTAACTTCCAAATTGGTGACAACAAAGATGCACAATCAGTATGTTTGTCTTTAAATTAGAACCTAAGAAAATGCAGATAGATAAGAAGGCGGCAAGACAAGGAGAAAATCATGAATCTGACTGTACCTTTTCTATGTAGAACTGCCGAATGGTGGTGTTAAGATCTCCCACCCGACAATCTATATGTTCCCCTTCAGATATCTGTACATTCCTAAGCTTTGGGGTTTCAAGAACTCCATTACAGAAGATCTTCATATTGGGGCAGCATTTCACAGTTACTTCTTCTAAGGATGGGAATACAATACTATCATTTCCTGAGTAGAATCCAGTGAGCTCTGGAAGATTTCTTATCTCCAGGGAGATTAGAGAAGGGAAGGAAATCATATATCCTATTTCGTATAGCTTTTCCTCTGCTTCAACAACTTGTATCATGCTCCAACAGTCAATTATCTCAACATGCCTGAGCTGCACTAGACATTTAGCTACAGAGTGTGATAGTAGATACTTCAAATTACCACAATGATGAACAATCAATATTCTCAAGCTCGGACCCAAATAAGATGTTGCGAGTTGAATAGGCCATATCCTTTTAATGTTGATTCTAGACAAGCGCAATTCCTTCAAGCTGGGGAACACAATCTGTAGATACACATCTTGTTCTATGAACATGATATGTACAAATACAAAAGAAGGGGAAAGAAAACAATAGCTTTTGATTCTAGTGAGATGACATGATGGGGTCTTATAGTCACAAGCAAGTTTTATAAGATTGAGAAAAAAAGTGAAAAACCAGAAATCCGATTTGAATATTAAAACCACATATTTGGTTTGATTTGGTTTTCAATCCATAAAATGCATTTGGTTTGGTTTTAATTCAATATTTGGTAAACCAAAATACAGGACATTAACTAAAACTATTATTTAAAATCAAACCAAACCGACATCACCCTAAAATTCTGCCACTGAACTGTTTTTGCCTATTTATTAGGGCAATTGTAATTGTAAAAAAATTATATTGAAAATTATTACAAGCTTTGTTGATTATTGATGTGTTTTGAATTCTTATAAACTCATACCAATTCCAATAACATTTCACTGTTCAATGCCTCAATGTTATTTGTTTGGATTATTTGTATATATAAATGAAAATATTTATAAAATATAAAATCTGAAGCATAAATAATTAAAAATATATAATTTAACATTATTTTTTAAGTAATTTAATATTCTTAGTTGAAAATTTTATTAACTATAGTAACTAGATATATTTGCCGAGATCTATATATATGTGAAAATTATAACTAAGCCATTGAATGCTCCATAATAAATAATAAATAAATACCCGTTCATTGAAAAGTGGCTTGGTGCCTGTGTCTCTCTGCTCCTGCTTAGATGTCTTCTCTTTGGAGCCAAACCTGATGAGCTGTGGCAGCTCTCCGAGTCTCATGGGCTGTAATGGAAAAAAGTCATTTTTTTCTGTGGCGATATACTGGATTTCCAAACCACTTTGGATGTGAAGTTTCTTCAAATGAGGGGAATCCTCCCCACTATTTAACTCAGGAAGTATATTCTTGATACATTCAAGTTGATCTAGACATAAATCTTCGGTTTTCTTCAACAACATTTTCACCCCCATGGTCCAAGTTGATCTAAATTTATTTTTTAAAATATATTTTCAAATCATTTATTAAAAAAATTAATAATTATTGGGTGCCCAGCATTAGTTACTTTGCACTTAGTGTGCAAAATTTATATTTTAACACATATATAATTGAAATTAATATGATTACATCTCATGGGTTCTTTTCCTATAATTTATGAAACCACCAATATGTTAAACAAACATTTATATAGTGCTCCACACAACATGAAGTGATTAAAATCAATTCGACAAGATACCTTTTATAGTTAAATTGAGTTGTCCGTAGCATATGAATGTTTTTTCAAATGAAATTGATTTTTTTAATGCGTAAAAGTATATTTCTAAAGCATTTATAAAATAAGTTTAATAATTATTTTTTCACCATTACTTGCTCGTTTTTAGTGTGAAAAACCTAAATTTAGATGAATAATATATAGATATATTTTGTATTACATACCATTTTGGTTCCTACAATTTAAAAAAATCATGTATTAATCCTTACATTACAACAAAATATTCTTTTGTCAGCACTTTCATTAATCATGGCATTTTCTTCTGTTAATGCTTTATTAATTGTGGCATTAAGTTCCGATTGACCCTCAATTCATGTGTATACAAATTGCACAATTAAAAAATATATGTATTTTTGGTTTGGACATGAAAGATATTTTGAGATTGTTTTGGACAATTTTAGGATGCTAAAACAGTAATTTGCTGCCTAAGGGGGAAAACCTTAAAATCTGATCTTTATCCATGATTACAGATAGATAGACATTCCACATATTAGGTCATGGAAGTTTGGTCTCCAAGCCAACTTTCTCTGGGTAACTTAGGATGTTCAATTTTAATTTAATTACTTAACTAAACTAATTTAATTCGGTTAATTAACCAAATACTGAATTAATTTCGATCAATTATAAAAATGATTTTAAAGTGTAAAATCTAATTCTCCTACATTAGTGTAGATCAGATTCTCCTATATTAGTGCAGCTTGATTTCCTAATTTATTTTGAAAATATTTCTCATTTATTCTTTTGATTTAGTTAATTATTCTTATTGTCAAGTTTTTAGGGATTTGTTTCTCCTTCCTTTTATTAATTTTGTTTTTTTGTTTCATGTAAGTTACTTCCTAATAAGGAACTTCACTGTTCCTATTTATTTGATGTACTCCTTCATTCTAAAAAGAATAAGAAGAAATAAGACCAATTGTTCTTTAAGTTTTCTAAATAGTATCAAAGCTAGGATTCTCTTTCATTGCCCTTTCATAATCTGTTACGTAGTAGACTTCTTCCATCTTCGCTTACACGTGATGAGAGCCTGTTAAAATAGGTTATCCCACATTCAATAAATATCCAATTTTTTGTACTCTTATATTCAGGTTAGGCCCCTCCACTTTCTACCAATTGATTTTAAGTTTGATACTTCACATGGTATCAAAGCAAATCGGCCTAAACCATTAGACTATAGCAACACGAGTTTCCGTTATGACCAGCAGGAGTGAGAACTATTCTTCTACAAAAATATGGCATGAGGAAAGTCACAAAAAAGTGAAAAGGTGATGCTCCAACAAACCCTTTAAAACAAGCCTACAACCTTTGAAACTAGTTTCCTAGCACAAAAAAGCAATTTCCTAAACACCTTAAGTGTTCCACGAGGAAATACACAATCTTGGATTGTTGATTTAAGAGCATCAAATCACATGACTGGTGATGCATCTTTATTCAACACATATAGACCTTGCTATGACATTTCTGCTGTAAAAATTGCTAATGGCTCTCTCAAAAGTGGTAAGAATAGGTTCTATTGTAGTTTCAAAATACATAACGCTCGACTTTATCCTCCATGTCCCTAATTTAAGCTATAACCTACTTTCCATCAGTAAGCTTACGAATGATAGATGTTGTGTCACTAAATTTTTTTCCCAACTTGTGTGAATTTTAAAAATTGGGTTCGGAGAAGATTATTAGTAGTGTTAGGATGTGTATAGGCTCTACCTTCTTCAAGATCATGGAATTGAGATACCACAAAACTCTTGTACAACCTTAGCCTCTAGTACTAGTAAGGATGATCTTATCATGTTATGGCATTATAGACTAGGACATCCAAATATTTTGTACCTAAAAAGGCTATTTCCTCATTATTCAATAAAATCTCTAAAGATTTTCAGTATGAAATTTGTCAACTTTCCAAGCACACTCGAAATACCTACCTTAGCCTTTCTTATAAATCATCTCAACCTTTCTTAATGATTCATAGTGACATTTGAAGACCGTCAAGAGTTAATAATATCACAAGTTCTAAGTGGTTTATTATATTCATTGATGATCATACTCGACTTACTTGGGTATTCCTTATGAAATAAAAATTCAAGGTTGGCTAAATCTTTGAAAACTTCAATAGTATGGTACAAACCCAATTCCAAGCCAAAATCCAAGTCCTAAAATTGACGATAGGAGAGAATACTTCAACTCTATTCTTGGCCCTTACCTCACCAATCATGGCATTATCCATCAATGCTCTTGCATTAACACTCCACAGCAAAATGGGGCTACCAAATGGAAAAACACACATTTGATAAAATTGACCAAATCCCTTTTGTTGACTTCCAATGTGCCTAAACATTTTTGGGGAGATGCCATCCTCACTGCAACCTTTTTGGTTAACCGAATGCCTTCTCAAGTTCTTGGCTTTAAAACACCTTGTCAAACTCTCCTTGCTTCCTACCCACAAACTTGATTGATCTCTTGTATTCCCATCAAACTCTTTGGCTGCATTTCCTTTGTTCATATTAGCCAACAAAACCGTAGCAAGCTTGATCCCAAAGCCTTAAAATGCATCTTCCTTGGTTATTCCCCAAACCAAAAGGGCTATAGGTGTTACACATCCATCACAAAAAAAATTCTATAGCTCTATAGATGTCACCTTCTTTAAAAATCTTCCTTACTACAACAAGAATGATATTCAAGGGGAGAATACTACTCAAGAATATCAATTCTTAGCTATTGACTTGCCAATTTCCCAACTAGCCCCTTCAAAACCAGATTCTCAACCAGTCCCTTTAAAACTAGATTCTCAACCTACCCAACCTATCAACCACACAGATTCTGAAACCCAACTTGTTCAGACAATTCTTGACTCTTCAAACCCTAAGGTTATGCAAGAAAAAACAAAAGAACTGATAGTCTATTCAAGGAAGCAAAAAACGCAGGAAGAAATGGATAACTATACACAGCCAAGAACTAAAAATCAACTTGATCCAAGTCTCCAAGAACCTAAAACTAACACAGGTAATGTTCTTATTGAATATGAGACAAAAACTTGTGAGCTAGCTGGAGACCTTGACATACCTATTGCATTAAGAAAAGGTGTGAAATCATGCACCCGCTACCTTATCTGCAAGTACATCTCATATGAAAAGTTAAATCCAAACTTTCGAACCTTTACTACTAACCTTGACAACGTGCAAATTCCAAAAAATATTCAGGTAGCCCTCAATGAACAAGATTAGAAGGCAGCAGTTCTTGAAGAAATCAAAACACTAGAGAAGAATGGTACATGGGAAATTTTAGATTTGCCTAAAGGGAAAAACCTGATTGGACGTAAGTGGATCTTCACAATAAAGCACAATATAGATGGAAGTATAAACAGGTTCAAAGCTAGACTTGTTGCAAAAAGGTTCACTCAATCCTATGGGATAGACAATGAGGAGACATTTGCTCCAATAGCCAAACTCAATTCAATCACAATTCTATTGTCACTAGCAACCAACTTGGATTGGCCTTTCCACCAACTTAACATCAAGAATGCATTCTTAAATGGCGACTTGAGAAGGATGTCCACATGGAAATTCCCCTTAGTTTCCAAAGGCAAGACAACATGGGCAAAGTGTGCAAACTTCGGAAGTCTTTGTATGGACTTAAACAATCTCCTCGGGCTTGGTTTGAATGGTTGACCAAGGCAATGAAGAGGTATGGATTCTTTCAATGTCATTTTGTTCATACTATGTTTGTTAAGTTCACTAATGAAGGGAAAAGAGTCATTCGTATTGTTTATGTAGATGATATCTTACTCATCGGAGCCACAAGGAAAAGATAGAAGATTTGAAGAAACTCATTGCAAAGGAGTTTGAAATAAAAGACTTGGGGTTCCTTAAATATTTCCTTGAGATAGAAATGACTCAATCTAAGAATGGAATATCAGTCTCTCAGCGTAAGTATGTATTTAATCTATTCAAAGAAATCGGCATGATTGGATGCAAACTTGTAGATACACCCATGGACTCAACTAATAAAATTGGAAGCGAAGATGAAAGCTTTGTCACAGACAAAGGACGACACCAAAGACTAATTGGAAATGTGGGAAAACACTTATTTACAGCTGATTGTAATCTTGTAATCTGTATATTTATATTTGTATCCCTAGAATTAAGGACAAAAAATTAATATAAACAATCTCGTAATTATAGGATTAGTTTTTAGGAAGATTTAGTTTCCTAGTTTAACCAATAGTTAATTGTATATAAACCTAAGGTGCTCCTATAATTCTTTATGAGCACTTTTTCAATATACATTCAGTTTTACTCTTAGTTTTTCCACATGGTATCAGAGCTTTAGGGTCTTCGTGGGAAGTAAAACTTTCAACCTTCATTGTTGACTTCTATTTTTGGCCTTCGTGGCCGAACCCTATTAAGGCCTTCATAGCCATTTTATTTTGCCCTTCTTTATCCTTCATTGCTAAGAATCCTTTCCAATTATATCTTAAGACTTGTTTCAGTTCAACGAAAGATATCACTATCACCCAATTTGAGGAAGTGTCAACTGAAAGAATCACCGAAGTACTATAGATGTCTCGAAAACAAAGAAAGTTGAACAAAGAAAAGATTGAGAAGCCTATTGAAAACCCTACCGGGATATGATCCTTGGGTAAGGCCTGTAGTTCAGGTAAAGCTTCTAATTCTAATGAATTAAATGTCTCGGTTAACTCTATTACGAGTTCTTAGGTCACTAACTCAGGAGCCACAAACCACATGACACATTCCTCACACAAGTTTAGTACATATACCCTGTGTCCTAGTAATAAAAAAAATTATTGTTGCAGATGGTTCACTTACTACAGTTGCAAGATTAGGAGATGTTCAAATTAATCCCTCGTTTGCTCTTAAAATTTTTTTCATGTTCTTAGATTGTCTACTAATCTGATATCTATACAAAAACTTACAGAGATATGAACTACAAAGTGACTTTTTATCCCTCTTATTGTGAATTTCAGAACCAGAGTCCAATGAAGAGGATTGGACTTGCTAAAAAGAAAGATGGACTATACTATCATGAGACATCAAACAACATAAGTAATATCAAGAATAGTTTATCTTTGTCATTTCTTTCTGAAAAATCTCTCGATAAAGACAAAATATGGCTTTATCATTTTCGATTTGGACATTTTTCTTTTGAAACTTTGAAAAACACGTTTCCTTCTTTGTTCAAAGGATTAAATGCCAAAAATTTTTATTACGATGTTTGTGAACTTGTAAAGCAAAGACGTGTGTCTTTTCTAGTTAGCAATAAAAGTTCTACCCCTTTTACTTAATTCACAGTGACATAATGGGTCTACAATTCCTAATATTTCGGGTGCAAGGTGGTTTGTTTCTTTTATAGATGATTGAACTAGGCTCTTTTGGATATTTTTACTTAAATCCAAATCAGATGTGAATAGTGTGTTTTTAAGATTCCAAAACATGATCCAAATCAATTTGGAGTGACAATCAAGAGATTTAGTTCTGCTAATGCAAGAGACTATTTCAATCAGAGATTATCTACCTATTTCCAAAAAGATGGGATTATCCATGAGTCATCTTGTGTTAATACTTCACAACAAAATGGAGTGACAGAGGAAAAACAATCATTTACTAGCCACAACCTGAACTTTACTTTTTCAAGCAAACGTACCCAAATCCTACTGGGGGAAAGTTGTTCTCACTGCCACACATATAATAAATAGGTTACCTTCAAAGGTTTTGGGATTTAAAACTCCTATGAAACTACTCTCACAATTCTATCCCAACTTTAATACCACAAACAATCTCATACCTAGGATATTTGGTTGTACATCATTTGTTCATGTTCACAATCACAATAGGGGAAAGTTGGATCCTAGAGCAATTAAATGCATTTTCGTGGGATATTCATCAACTCAGTAAGGGTAAAAATGTTATCATCCTCCTACCAAAAAATTATATGCGTCTACAAATGTCACTTTTGAAGAAAGTAAACCATTTTTTACTCAACCTTATCTTCAGGGGAGACTTCATTCATGGAAGATAAAGATAAAGACTTCTTTTTGCTTGATTTATCCTCTTCTTCAACATTTTCACCCTTACCCATTAATTCTTCTAAGTCAAAACCCGTTTCTTCTGAGTCTAAGTCAAACATTAAATTTGAGTCTAAACCCACTCCAAACACAGAAAATATGACAAAAGATAATATTGTTCTTGATTCTATGAAGGAATTACAAGTATACTCAAGAAGGAAAGTTTCAAATCCTAAACCAGTACCAATCCAAGAACCTAATCCTAACTCTAGAAATGAGGTAACTACAATATTTGACTTCATTTCTCAAAATGAGCATAAATCTCCTAAAACTATAACTAGTGATTATGATCTACCTATTGCCATTAGGAAAGGAACCAGAGAATGTACTAAGCATCCACTATACTCAATCTCTAATTTTGTGTCATTTGAAAAATTCTCACCATCCCACAAAAATTTTCTTGTGAGCCTAAACACTATTTCTGTTCCAACTACATTATTTGAGGCATTATCTAGTGAGAAATGGAGGCAAGCCATGAAAATAGAAATGGAGGCCTTAGAGAAAAATAAGACATGGGAACTGGTAGAGTTGCCTAAAGGAAAAAATTCAATTGGGTATAAATGAGTTTTCATTGTAAAATACAAGGCGAATGGTACTATTGAAAGGTATAAAGCCAGGCAAGTGGCTAAGAGCTACACTCAAACTTATGGAGTGGATTCTCGGAAAACTTTTGCTCCAGTTGCCAAGATTAATACAGTTAGGATTTTGTTATCATTGGCTACAAATTACAATTGGCAGCTCCAATAATTTGATGTAAAGAATGCTTTTCTACATGGTGATTTGGAAGAAGAAATATCTACGAAGGTTCCACTAGGATTTGGAGGTCATCTAGAAGCAAAAAAAGTATGCAAGCTGAAAAAAGCTTCATATGGCCTTAAACAGTCTCCTAGTGCCTGATTTGGGAGATTTGCCAAAGTAATGTTAAAACTAGGATATAAGTAGAGTCAAGGAGATCACATATTATTTATCAAGCACTCTGATTCAGTGAGAGTCATAGTTCTATTAGTGTATGTTGATGTTATAATTGTAACTGAAGATGATGAAAAAGAGGGAATATTTAAAATAGTGTTTTGCTAGAGAATTTGAGATAAAAAAAGCTAGGGAGATTAAAGTACTTTCTAGGAATTGAAGTAGCTCACTCACGGCATGGGATTTTCATCTCACAACAAAAATATGTGATGGATCTTCTAAAGGAAACTAGGAAGCTCGCATGTAAACCTGCAAATATCCCTATAGATCCTAAGCATAAACCTGGAGAAGCTAATGAAGATGTTGCTGTAGATAGAGAGATGAACCAAAAATTAGTTGGAAGACTTATTTATCTCTCACATACTTGACCTGATATAGCATATGCTATAAGTGCGATAAGTCAATTTATGCATAGTCCTAAAGAAATGCACCGACAGGCTGCCTACCATGTATTGCACTATTTGAAGGCCAATCCTAGGAGAGGTATCTTATTCAAAAGAAATTCGAGACTGGTTCTAAAGGCATATACAGATGCTGATTATGCAGGTTCAGTAACTAATAAAAGATCCACATCAGGCTACTGCACTTTCCTAGGTGGTAATCTTGTGACGTTGAGGAGTAAAAAACAAAATGTAGTGGCAAGATCAAGTGCTGAAGTAGAGTTCAAAGCAATGGCTCAAGGAATTTATGAACTACCATGGTTAATAATTATCCTAGAAGACTTGAAGATCAAGTGAGATGGACCAATAAGACTCTACTATGATAACAAGTCTGCGCATTGCACACAATCATGTGCAACATGGCAAAACAAAACACACTGAAGTAGACTAGCCTTTCATAAAGGAGAAACTAGACAATGGGTTGATTTCTACACTGTATGTATCAACCAAGAGTCAACTTGCAGATGTGTTAACTAAAAGTCTCAACAATGCAACATTTCAAGAAATTATTTCCAAGCTAAGAATGGAAAAAACCTATTCACCAGCTTAAGGGGGATTGTGGGAAAACACTTATTTACGGTTGATTGTAATCTTGTAATCAGTATATTTATATTTGTATCCCTAGAATTAAGTATTTGTATCCCTAAAATTAAGGAAAAAAAATTAGGATAGACAATTCCTCAATTATAGGGCCAATTTTTAAGAAGATTTAGTTTCCTAGTTTACCCACTAGTTAATCGTATATAAACCTAAGGTGCTTCTATAATTCTTTATGAGCAGTTTTTCAATATACATTCAGTTTTACTCTTACTTTTTCCATAGGAAAGCTTATTTACCTCTCCCACACACGACCCAATATCAAGTTTGCCATAGGGATGGTGAGTAGAGACATGAATAATCCAACCAAGCGGCATCTCAAGTGTATTCATTACATCCTACAATAATTAAAGAAGAGTCTCAGTGAAGGTCTATACCTTAAGAGGTCAATAGATAGGGCAATCAAGGTGTACATAGATGCTAACTAAGCTAGATCAGTAACAGATAAAAGTCTACTACTAGATATTGCACTTATGTTTAGGGTAATTTGGTCACTTGGAGAAGTAAAAAGCAATCTATTGTAGCTATGAGCAGTGCTGAGGCTGAGTTTAGAGCAATATCCCATGGTATTTGTGAAAGAATTTGGCTGATGAGGTTACTTGGAGAATTAAAAGTTAAGACGGTGACATCTATGACATTGTTTTGTGACAATAAGGTTACTATAAGTATTGCCAAAAATCTTGTTTATCATGATAGGACCAAGCACATAAAGTTGGATCGACATTAGGAAAAGATAGAAAATGGATCGCTCAAACTGGCCTATATCCCTACAAGTTCCCAAATTAAAGATATTTTGATTAATGCTCTTCCTAGAAGCATCTTTGACATATTGAAATCCAAATTAACGTTCATAAGCCAACTTCAGCAGAAGTGTAAAAATCTAATTCTCCTACATTAGTGCAACTTGATTTCGTAATTTATTTTGGAAATATTTCTCATTTATTCTTATGATTTAGTTAATTATTCTAATTGTCAAATTTTTAGGGATTTGTATCTCCTTCCTTTTATTATTATTTTTTTTCTGTTTCATGTAAGTTGTTTCCTAATAAAGAACTTCACTGCTCCTATTTATTTGATGTACTCCTTCATTCTAAAAAGAATAAGAAAAAATGAGGACAATTGTTCTTTAAGCTTTCTACATAACGAAATTTCAATTTTTTGTTAATTCAATTTGAATCTAAATATCAAAATAAAAATACATTAAATAGTCCATTTCATTTTATAAGTTGTTAAAGTTTTTAGCTTAATATTTTGATATTTAAATATTTTATTAAATGATTTTATTTAATTGGTTTCAAATATGAAAATTTAAGAATTTAAAATATAATGAACTTAAATGTATTTTTTCGGTTAACTGAAAAAATTAACTGAACGGATCAAATTAAATTGAGTTAACTAAATTTCGAAATTAATAAATTTAATTCGATTAATAAAAATAAAATAATATAATTCAATTAATTTGATTTAAAGTGATTCAATTCAAAATTAATCGAATTGAAAGAATGAACACCTTAACGCAACTCATGTTCCTCACCCATAGGCTTTGTTCAATGATTTGTGGTTGAACTTCTTCATTTGCATAAGAATGCTTATGGGGCAGTATTCTTCCTTTTTTTTTATTTTGTAACTTCTTTTTTCAGTAAATTTACTGTTAGGAAAGTACATAGGTATATATATATATATAATCTATCAAATTAATACGAAGGCATAATCAATAAAACATCCCTCAGTAAATTTTCACACTCTAAAACAAATACTAATTTTTATTTTCTGAATTCATTTGTCCTATAATAAACCAAATGATTTATCTGCATACACAAGAAAATAACAACAGGACGTGATCAAAGCAAACAAGCAAACAACCATGATAACCAACGTAACTGCAGCAACTAAGTGCCAACAATAAGAAATAACCAAGAGAATTTAAACGTCTCTAGCTTTTATGGGTAAAACCTGACACTCTAATTTGAAGATCCTAAATTCAAATTTCGGAAGTAAGTGATGTGAGATTCATGAGATACGAGTGTGTATGTAGTACAAAATTCATTAAATCTCTAAACATAAAAAGAAAAAGAAAATAAAAGGTGTTCTTTTTATTATTATTATTTGCTAAATTGAAACTTCATGAGAAAACCTAGACTGAGAATACGGAAAGATTTTCAAAGAAATTTCGAATGCATCTGCTTCCGATCTTAGCAATCAATAGTTAGAGAGTTTCTTTTAGTGGTACAAATTTGAGGTGAAGCTAACAAAATAACAGATCTGCAACCAGAAGATCAGGACAACTTGAAGAAAAAAAACACTATTGGAAACAGTAAACATAACGCCAAACAGAGAATAAAGTTCATTTACATGAAAGAACGAACAGAATTGAAGGGATTTTCACGAACATACCTCCATCTGATCTTAGCAACCAGCAAATGATCAGATAGTTTTTTCCCCTCTCTTGACGGTTCCGATTACAAGAGGAACGCGCGGCATCCCAACGGAGAAAGATTCTTGTGGTTAGCGAGATGACAAAGCAAGAGTATGAAAAGGTCTTCGATTGACTTTTTTTTTTTTTTTTGAAAAAATCTCAATTTATTCTAAATTAAACAAAAAAAAACAACTATTAAATTTAAAAGAATGGAAACTTATGGGACACGAGTCTTTTTTATTCATATATTTATTAAAATTTTTCTTTGAAAATTAATTCATTAATTATGTTTATTGTCAATTATTTAATTTAAAAAATTTATTAAAAAAAGGTCACCTGCACATATACGTCTTTTTAAATTAAAATAAAAAAATTTTGAGTTGTCGTGCCTCATTAGTTTTTTTTACAAAATTTATATCATATATTTTTATTTTTATTTTTATTTATTTTTTTTCTTTTTCTTTTATCTATTATATATTTTTATTTGTATTGTAATTTTTTTAAAAACTAATTTAATACTATTGATTAAAAACATCATTTTTTTATATCATAGATATTAAAAAGCTCAAAAAAATCAAATTTAGATGGAATGTTTACTTCTCCATTAATATATATTTTAAACCATTTTTTTATTTAAAAAAGTATAAAAAATATTTTTAATTATTAAGATAAAATTGACTTTTTTAATTACAAAAATAAAAATAAAAATATCTATTAAATAAAAAAAGAAATGAAGACAAATATTTTTAAAAAAAATCACTTGACACATAACATCAGTAACAATTATTTTATTTTTGAAAATTTTATGGATTTGCAAAGAAATAAGGAAAATATTAAAAAAGAAAGGATAAAAAAATGAGATGTGAGGTTGACACCTATAATATTATTATTTTAAAAATTATCAAATAAAAATGTTATTAAAAATATATTTTTAATAACAATATCAAATGGATCCGCCATAAAAAATTTAAGATATTTAAAAATATTTATGAAATAAAAACAAAAAAATTATAAATAGAAAGAAAATAAAAAAATGAAAGCAAAAAAAGAATTAAATTATTTGACAGATGTTATATTTTTTATATCAAGCGAATCAATAAGAAAAATGAAATTTAAAATTTATTTATTAAATATATAAAAAAATAAAAAAATAAAACTGAAAAAAAAAACACATTATTTACCTTTAGGAGTCATTTAGTTCATGGAATTTTGAATTTCATGAGAAAGTGTGATCTTAAACAAAGTGCAATACCCGATGTTTTTTTTTATTTTCAGGGTATCCGTTATTCAGATTTATTCATTTGATTAGATTTATTCATTTGATTGATGAAAAATCTACATATATTAATTTTTGAATAATTATCATAACTTTTTTAATATATATGATGGTAACTTTTTATTAGTTTTTATTAATAATAAATACCTAAATGATAAATGATACCTTTAACAATAAAAGAAAACAAATATTTTTATTGCTATTTTTATTTATAAAATATCATCAATAAAAAAATATTTAGGATTATTTAAAATATTTTTGGTTGAAAAAAGTCTTAAATAAATTTTTTAAAAAGAATTATTTAAGACTTTTTTGTCCAAAAGTGTCTTAAATAAATGCTATTAAAAAAATATGAAATGATTATTTAAGGTATTTTTTATTAAAAAATATCTTTAAAAATATTTAATATTTTTTTAAAAATGATTATTTAAGACTTTTTTTTAATAAAAAATGCTTTCAATAATATTCTTCAATTTTTTAAAAGATATTATTTAAGACATTTTTTGTAATAATTTTTAATTTTTTAAGAGATAAAATATAAAAAAATTAAAGTAACTTAGTCAGTTAGAGTATATGATTATTAACCATGAGGTTGTAAGTTCAACCTCTCTTTTCTAGAGCTTTAATGTTTTTGTCATAAACGCCTTAAATAATACTCTTCAAAATTTTGGACTGCATGTATTTAAGGTGTTTTTTACTAAAAACTTTTAAAATAATCTCTTTTATTACTTATAAGATTTAAGAGATAAAATATAAAAAAATTAAAGTAATTCAGTTAGTTAAAACATATGGTTATTAATCATAAAGTCGTAAGTTTGACTTTTTCTTTTAGCAATTATTTTTTAGGATAATTTAAGACGTTTCTAGGATTATTTTTTAGGATTATTTAAGAGATTTTCTTAAATAATGCTGATATATTTTTTAAGAGATTATTTAAGGCTAATCTATTTTTTAAAAAGATTATTTAAGGCATTTTCTTAATGAATTTTTTGTCAGAAAACATCTTAAATAATCCTATTCAATTTTTTTAGGATCATTCTAAAAAAAATTGAACAAGATTAGTTAAGATGTTTTTCATGCAAAACGCTATTAATTACAATATAAAAATATTTTTTAGCAGCAAAAATCTAAATTGATTTACAATCAACTTCAGACATACTTTTCAAAATAGTAACAATTATTTCATAATTTTTTATTCATGTTAAATTTGAAAATAATGTAATTTTCTCCCTCATAATCTTAAAATATCACAAGAAGGTAAAATTTTTATTCCGAGACTTTAGGTTCTATTAAAAATCTATCACTTTCCTTTGAAATAAGATTATTTTAAACCAAACATTAAAATCAAATACCTAATAATAAATTTGAAAATATATATATAAATTTTTTCGAACCAAATATCTCATTAATGATATATTTTTTAAGGGATTATTTAAGACTAATCTATTTTTTTTAGATGATTATTTAAGTCATTTTCTTAATAGATTTTTGGTCAAAAAACATATTAAATAATCATATTTAATTTTTTTTAGGATTATTCTAAAAAAAATTGAACAATATTATTTAAGACATTTTTCATGCCAAACACTATTAATTACAATATAAAAATATTTTTTAGCAGCAAAAATCTAAGATTGATTTACAGTCAACTTCAGACATACTTTTTAAAATAGTAACAATTATTTCATAATTTTTTATTCATGTTAAATTTAAAAATAATATAATTTTCTCTCTCAAAATCTTAAAATATCACAAAAAAATAAATTTTTTATTTCGAGACTTTAAGTTTTATTAAAAATCTATCACTTTTCTTCGAAATAAAATTATTTTAAACTAAATATTAAAATTAAACACCTAATGATAAAATTTAAAAAATATATATAAATTTTTCCGAACCAAATATCCCATTAATATCCCTACTCCTCCCCCTCCCCCCGGCCCAGCCCAAAACACTTTCCTTGTGTTGTGCTTATTTCATGATCTAATAGTTTGACAGATACTGTAAAAAGATAGAACAACAATAAAAACTTTTAAAAATAAAAAATAATAAAAAAAGTGCTACAGTCACAGCATTTACCCTCTATTTAAGAGTTCAACTTCAGGCCTTTGTTTTGTTTCTACCGTATGCTGTGTGGTCCAGCACCCTCACCGACAGCAAGGGGTCATGGTAGGGAAAAGAGAAAGACCCCACTCCAATAAATCAGTTCCTCGGTCCCTTACCTATATAATGATATGGATTCATTTTAAGTAGTATGTGTTGATGATGATGGTGATCTTGCTGCGATCCTGTTTATATTAAAAGTTAAAATCAACAAATTGTCTTGAAATGATTCAAAAATGAAAGTTTTCTTATAAAAACAAAATTTGGGACAGAATCGTAACTTCATATACACCCACCACTATGAAAATAATTGTCTTTAAATGATTTTAAAGACCATCTTTTATCGATTGTAAAACTTCCTCATTATTTTAAATGAGATTCACATGATCTATAAAGTAATGATTACATTTTAAGAATCTTAAATTCTTATCAAATACAATAATTAATCACGCCGCATAAATTACACTAGATTTTTAAAGAAATCAATTCATATTAACACGTATTCAAACTTAAAAACGTAAAACATATGATAGAATAAACGAAAATATTAATATTGAAGTTTTCCTGTCTTAATTAAATTGTTATAATTGATTTTTAATCAAAATTTTTTTAATTTTGATTGTTATTATTTTAAATATTTTAATCAATTAAATTTTATAAAATATATATTAAGAAATTACTTGATTCAAATTTTCAAAAATAATTTTTTGTATTTTCTTTAGTCATAAATAAAAAATAATAAAAGATCAAAGTTTAAAAATTTAACCACAAAAAATTGTGACAATTTAATTGGAAGATTTGTCGGGATTGGAAAATAATTAATTTTTATTTCATTGCACTACTTGGTCTTGGTGAAGGAGTGGTTGTTCAACCTGCCTTTCAAGGGTGGTGGGATTTAGACCACTCACCTATTGAAGTGATAGGAAAAACATAAAAGAAAAAAGGTTTGATTTAAAGATTCGACACAGCAAAAATGAAAAATTAATCAAGTGTAGCGATTAAAAGGCTAAAGATAACAGATGTTTTGAATTATAATTTAATAATTATTTAAAATTTTTAATATTTTATTATAATCAATCAAATTTTTAATTTAATTTAATTTAATTTAAATCCCGCTCACCTATTGAAGTGATAGGAAAAACATAAAAGAAAAAAGGTTTGATTTAAAGATTAGACACAGCAAAAATGAAAAATTAATCAAGTGTAGGGATTAAAAGGCTAAAGATAACAGATGTTTTGAATTATAATTTAATAATTATTTAAAATTTTTAATATTTTATTATAATCAATCAAATTTTTAATTTTTAATTTAATTTAATTTAATTTTTAATTAAATAAAATTAAATAACGTAACACAATTAAATGAATTAATTTCCAAATTATTGTTAATTGAATTTTTATAAAGATCTTAAAAAAAAGAGAGAAAATAAAAAATAAAAAAGTTTATTTGATTTAATTTTTACATATATTAATTACTTAACATGATAAATTTCATTATTTTATTATTGTCGTATGAAATTTTATTTTAATTGCTAAAAAAATTATCGTTGTTAATTTTTTTTTATCGAAATAAAATTTTAATTAAATACAAATAAATATTGGATAGTTATAAAAAAAATAAAAACTTAATTTTTTTGATTATAGTGTATAAATTTTTTATATCTTTTAATATTATTGAAATTTTTGAAAAATCTATTCCAATTAATTCAATTATCTCAAAAATTAACTGATTTAATTATACTTTTTATCTTTTTATTAAATTGTGATTGACATGTA